TTGTATCAGAAAGCAAAGAGGTACTCAGAGATTAATGAGACATACCAAAAAAAGATATTGGAATCATCTTAAAGAGGTTCCCACTGGCAAAATTTGCAAAATTTGGGACAGACAGAATAGTGAAAGGGTTATAACAGACTGGTTAAAAAGGAGAACCCATGAGCCTATAGCAGCGACCAACCACCTTTTTCTGCAATGAGCCAGACAGTAAGTATTTTAGGCTTTGCAGTCATGCAATGTCTGTCACAACTACCCAGCCTGTCACTGTTGTGCAAAAGCAGCCACAGATAAGAAGTAAATGGTTATGTTCCAATAGAACTTTATATACAAAAATAGGTGACAAAGGCCATAATTTGCCAATCCTTGGTCTACAGTGATGATCAAAGAAAAAAGAGGGGAATACTTCTTTCCTCGGCTCCTAGATGAAAAAAACACAAAACAATGGCAGAGTTTGAAGTGGGGGGAAACCAAATCACCATTTTGCAACTATCAGTGTAATAACTGATTCAGGTAAGAGTCTATGGGTACTGAGTAGGTAGGTAAACTATTAGATGAAAGATTGTTGGAGAACAGGATAACAACAGGTTATTTATTAATTACAAAGAGGAAAAGGTACCTTTTCAACTTACAGAATTGGGCAGATAGAACACTAACGAATGCTCGAACTTAGCACTGACAATTGTTGGAAATATGGACATCATCCTGATATAATGGGAAATATACAACATTATTCAAATAATGTTCTTGACAAAAATGTTTAGCCTGAATCCAATCATTAGGATATAATTAGGCAATTCCAGTTTTCGGGCTACTGTATAAGTCAACTGACCTGGATTACAAAAATTTCAATCTTATGAATTAAAAAAACAAAAGGTAGGAAACTGCTCTAGATTAAAGACACCTACCAACCAAATGCAATATGTCATCCTTGATTTGATCCTCGGTAGGGGATGGTAGACTATACTGTCTTAAGTAAATTTGAATATAAACTATGTATTAGATAATGTTAGTGTATCAACACTAGATTTTGGGTGTGATAATGGAATTATGATTATGTAGAAGCAGGCCCTTAGGATCTTCACACTGAAGAATTTAGGCATACACTGATATAAACACTTACTTTCAGGGAAAAAAAAGTGGTGCTTGTGTGCATGTGTAGGAAGAAAGACAGAGAGAGAAAGCAAATGTGTTAAAAGGTTAACTCTTGGTGAATCTAGATAAAGTTTACGTAGATGTTCACCATACTATTCTTCCAACATTTCTGTACTTTTAAATTTTTCAAAAGTTGGGGAAAATTTTAAGACTTTCTGTTCAACAAAGTATAGGATGGGAAAAGTTAACAGACAAATGACAAGCTGGGAAAAGGCATCTGCATTGTCTAAGATATCTTTTTTAGATGTTAAGGTTATTTCTCGACTATAAAAGGAATTTCTAACTAGTAAGAACCCCAAAAGAAAATAGGTCAAAGGATATGAACAGGCAATTTATAGAAGAGGAAACTCAAAAAGCCAATAAGCATATGCAGATGGATATTTGAACTTACTCAAGATCAGAGAAGTGCAAAATTAACGAGGTATCTATCATGCTATCCCTATTTAACCAGCAAAATTAGAAAGGTAACTAATGTCAAGTGTCAGTGGGAACACAGAGGATGTAGAAATACAGGAGAGCTCCTGTGCTGCCCGTAGGAGCACAGGGTGGCCCCGCCACTCACAGGAGCCATCAGCAGCACCTAGACACGTGAGGCACAGTCACATTCTGTGACCTAAGCATTCTGCTCCTACACTTTCATTCCAAAGAAATTCTCATGACAGTCCCTAAGTGACCCCATAAGAGGATTTCACTGCAG